ATCGAACTTGGGACCTTACACTTGCAAGGCAGTCGGCGGAACCACTGAGCTAAATCCCCGGCCCCTTAATTTTTTTTGGAGGGGTGGGTACCGGGAATCAAACTCAGGACCTTGTGCTTTCCAGGCAGGCACGATGCCACTGAGCTAAATCCCGGGCCCATTAAACTTTGTGAGGAGCTGCCAAACTGTTTTCCAAAGCAGCTATAACTTGTACCATTTGTATTGAACCCAGGGCCTTCCCACTGAACTACATCCCCAGCTCTTTTTTCTTTTTCTTTTTTTTTCCTGTACTGGGGATCAAACTCAGGACCTTGTGCCCTTTTAAAAATTTTATATCATATTTTAAAATTTTATATTTTGAGACAGGTTCTAGCTAAATTGCTAACTTGCCCAGACTGGGCTTGAATTTGTCATCCTTCTGCCTGGCTAAAAATTTGTTTTTTCTTTTGTTTCTTTCTCTCTAGACAGGGTCTCACTGTGTAGCTTATTTATTTATTTATTTATTGCAAAACATTTATTGGTACACTTTAGATATACATAATGATAACATTCATCATAGGGAATTTGTACCTGTACATGATATATCTTGCTTCTTCATGTGTAGTTTAGAATGGCCTTCAACTCACTGTGTGGCTCAAACTGGCCTTGAACTCTCAGTGATCCTTCTGCCTCAGCCTCTCTAGTGCTGGGATTACAGGTGTGTCACTTTGCCTGGCCTAAAAATTTATTTTTAACTGATATATAAAAATGTGTACATATTTATGGGGTAATGTATGATGTTTGAACACATGTATATGTTGTATAATGTTTAAATCAAGGCAAACATATGAATCTCCTGAAATATTTATCATTACTTTTTGGTGAAGACACTCAAAGTACTTTCTTCTAGGTTTTTTTTTTTTGTACTGGGGATCGAACTCAGGACCTTGTGCTTGTGAGGCAGGTGTGGCACCACTGAGCTAAATCCCCAGCCCAATTTTTGGAACCATACAGCATATTATTATGTCTAGTCACCCTCTTGTGGAACAGCACACCAGAGTTTCTTACTCCTAGCTATATTTTAGTTCTCACTGGTCAACCCTTTCCCATCCCTCCCTCTGGTCATTATCATTTTACTCTCAACTTCTTTTTGGTCAACATTTTATATTTCACGTGAGTCAGAACATTCAGTACATGTCCTTCTGACATGGCTTACTTCATTTAACATAATGATCTCTGGTTCCATCCATAGTGTCACAAATGACAGTATTGGTTGATTGATTAACTGATTTTTTTTTTTTTT